CATGTCTAAGCCCACATTTGCTTAACTGGCCTGCCTGCAGTCCAGGTCTGTCTTGCAAAGAAACCACAGATCTGTTTCTTTGTTTCTTTCATTTCTACAACTAGAATGGGCAAAAACCACATTTGTCTCCAAACAAATGTCCATTTTTTATTTAGTTTAGGATGAGCTAGACATTGGTCCGTAGAATAATTTTCTAATAGCAATAATGGAGATGCTCTATCGCGGCTTGAGGTTTGTTAGGAGACTGTATCAAAGAAAAGAGGAGCTGCATCATCTCGTCTGACTCACATTCTGTCCCAGAATCCACCTTTGCAGACCTATTCATCCTTTTATTCCCAGCAGTTCTTGTTCTATCTGCTCTTCCAGTAAGTCCTTCACTGACTCACGTGGCGTCAGCGAGATCTGTGAGTCTGCTCACATATTAGACATTCAATTAAATGCAACGCTCTGCCCGCACGTCCATAAAGAAAGAGCCGCAGATATCAATCAGTCTGTTCCCCCGCTCTGAGTGGACAGTGGTCAGGACATCATGGGGTGTCTTCCCTGCATGACAATGTCTTTGTGAGCGTCAGCACTATCAAAGGTTGGCCGGAAGAGTGCGTGTTTGTGTGTGCGTATGCGACATGAAGAGATTTATGACAGTGTCAAAATGAGGGAGTTTTATCCGTTTGACAGCTGGCAGGGCGATCGATCAGCCTGTCCCGTACACCACTCAGCCAATGAATCGAAAAAAGACATCATTATTTATCAAATAATGATAATTTCATTTATCAAAGACTTCCTTTTCTTAGGCTCTCAAACTTTCTTTCCTGCTTCAATGTGTGTTTTTGTGCGTGACCACACTGTGATGATGCAGTTCTTTTCTATAGAACAGTCACTGTCAGAATGCAGGCACAATGGAGCACAATGGGCTACAGGGCTGCCACTCACACACTGTCTGTGTAGTAGTGGGCCTTGATCAGTGGAGGCTATTGACTGATGCCTGAGACGTCAGAGTTTTCAGAGGACAGATGACACATAATAGACGATGTACAAGAAATCTATCCAAGATATTAGGCTGCAAAAGTGCAGCCTTAAATGTAGACCTGAAGGATATTGCTGGTTTGACTCAATTATTGTAGTTTCAGCATCAATTCCTGCTTAAAAATAAATCTGCACAAAATATTTTGGTTATTTCTGTAGCTAACAAAAATGTCTCCACAAGGACAAGTGTGCTAAGTGTCCTAAATGGACAAAGTGTCGCAGCAATATTTTACCAAAAAAAATCTACACAAGTATTAAGTGTCCCCCCAAAAAATATTACTTGTTTCCACAAAGAAAACATGTCCCCACCACAATAGTATTTACCAAAAAAGTCTCCATTAGAACAAAGTGTCAAAACACCAATAATATTTTACCTAAAAGGACAAAGTGTTCCTAAGAGAATAGTTTTTACCAACAAATGTCCCCACAAAGACAAAGGGTCCCCAAATCTATAGTCATATAGTATCTGTGCACTACACACACACACACACACACACACACACACACTGCTAGCATCCTCCTGTGTCTTTCATCTCCGGGCTTATTAGGCAGTGTGTTTGATGGGAGGGACCTCTGTCGTACTTTGACTCGAACATGGGTATTAAAATTTTTTGAAATAAAACGAGGGACGTAAACAGAAAACAAACACAAATGTGCACACGTTGCACACATATCGTTTGTCAGACAGTCTCTGTGGGCACCTGCTGGCTTCTTTTGATGTTTAATTAAAGCTGAATTTAGAGGGGGATGGCAATGTTTCAGGCGCTCTGTTTTGGAATTAATATATGCAAATGTCAATAAAAAAACAGACATTAAAGAAACCTTCTACCACTCACTGATGACTGCAGCGATTTGTGGGGAAGGGGCCGGAGGATAAAAAGAGGAGAAAAAGTGCATACTGTAAGAAAATATACTGTATATTTAACTCAACCAGTGAGTGAGTACCAACAACAAAGGCTTTTACTGAGATTTTTTACTGAGCAGAAGATGGAGCGCTTAAAATGATAAATGTGTTTTTTAAACTCAAGCAAAAACACTTTATAAAAAGTGAGTCCTTTCTCTTAATTAGAATTAAGTATTATTTCTTTGGTTTGTTTAAATTTTAAACACCGTCATTATCAAAGCAAAGATGACAGGACACAGGACCGTGGAGACCTGCCACAATGCAGAGTAAATACATTTATCTTTCTAATTTGGATAACATTTGTTTGCTTGAACAGTTTATATAAGAGGAATTAATGACCAAACTGGAAAATTACATAACTGGGCTGTCAAAAATATGCCTGCTGGACTGTCACTGGACGGGACTTAAAGCCAATGTTTCTCCACAGAAGATGAAATACATTTTTTGATCAGTGAAAAAACTGGCTTGATCTGGTTTTTGGCGGCTAAGCAAAACAAATGTGTATTAAAAATGATTCTAAATCTAAATCTGGTCCCAACTTTGTTTTTTAGTTTTGTGACCAAAGCTGACAGAGGCTTGTGCTTTACATTTGTCTTTGGAGCATAAGGTAGAGCCGAACACAAAGCAAACATCCTAACCCAAATCCACGAGAATTTAAAAAAGCTAATTCTATCTAAGGCGTTAGCATAATAATGATTTTTAATTTAACGGATATGATTGGTTGCAATCAGTGTATTAACAACAATACAAACAATACCAATAACATACTTTAATCAAAGTCTGTACTAATAAATCTCAAGGTTAGGCTAGGCAGTGCAGCTAAAAGGCTAAAAATAAGTATGCTAGAAATTAATTGAAAATTAATGGGAATAAAAGAGAAACCAGATAAATGATGTTTGAGCACGTACATGTAGATACATAATAAACTCTCTATGTAGGTGTGTGTCATCTCTGGGCAACAGTCATCACCCTACTACAGTATAGATATTTAATGACATCATAGACAATTCTGCCAAGTGTTTTCACATATTGGAGTGTGTGCAGCCAAGGTTCTTGCTCTATAATATTTATTTACTGAATCATATCCGACTTCATTCCTTTTTTATGAGATGCCGGCAGTTTGTAGTAAGCTAAGGTAGCAACCGAACACTTTCCTACCAAGGATACGACTGACGCTGAAGCCAGACGGTTTTTAAAATGTATTACCTTTTCATCTAACAACACATCGGACTTTAACTGGGGTACCATTACAGTTAGCTCGTTCATCTGTGGTAGAGGTTGAGAAATTAAAACAGCTAATTAGAACAGAATTAATCAATGAGGAGATTAAATAAAGTGGACATTGTCATTGTTCTTCCCCGGGTGAAAGAATGATGCCTCTCCTTTTACCCTGTGAGGGGTCTCCTCTCATTTCCTTCTTGCCACATTAAGTCCTACTTTTGTAAAGAATTATGATATTGAATTTAAACCGTGCTACTGAGAAAAAAGGCAATATTTCAAGGATGTGGAGAACTGCTGACTGTGGCTTTTCAGGCTCGTTTAAATAGCAAACATCTCCAGCGGTAGATAACGACATCAGCGGAAGCTATTAAAAATAAACACAATGAGCATCGCCGCTGAAATCTCTAAAATGAAACCATAAACTGTTTCCACTCTGTTCAGTTAATATGCTCTTCACCAGTCAGAGTTTAGAGGAAACCTTTGAATAAAATGATACTTCTGATTGGGTTACATTCATTTTATGAGCTCAAAATGCGCGAGTCACATAATACCAATGATTTTGGTTTTAAACTTTACTGACTGTAAAATAAAGACCTCCAGAGCGCAGCCACTAAGATGGGGTTGATGAAGCTGGGCTTCACTTGACAAATATCAGGAATCTGTGTTGGATGTTACTGCTTTACTTGTTGTCAGCATCAGTTTTCGTTACCTTTCAGAAAGTGTACCCATTTCAAAAGTTTAATCTGTGCAGTTCTTTTTCAAAGTCTGTGGAAATAAAGTCTAGGTTTTTATTGGCGCTGCTTTTATGATTAAATGTGAGGAGCTCGATTGGACTCGACAAACTGCACTTGAAATTTGATTGTACTGCAACTTTCAGGGACACAGATGGCGTAAAAATATTACTTGTTGCATTTATCAAGCAGGTGCAGGCAATAATGAGACAGTCCCGATGATGAGCAAGGGTTGTTTTGAGGGCAGAGAGAGGGTTGGGGTTGGTACACAGGACGGCATGCACTAAAGACAGGAGTGGAGGGTGAGCAGCGTGTTCAGTCAGGAACAGAGTAAAGCTCTTTTTTGTTAGACGGGGAGAAAAGGAACAGAGGGAGCACGGAGAAAGGAAGACTTCTCCAACCTCATGGTTCACACATCTTTGCAGGAGGGTAAACAGAAGAAAAAAAGGACAAACACAACGACACAGAGACACACAAAGAGCATCAGTACAAGACTCCCTCCTGTTAGGGTCACGTGAAGACAGGAAAAGGGTTTTGACCCGCTGGATTCCACCTGATTAGGTCGCCCACAGGGCTGAGCGGCCTCTTTTTTTACCTGCAGCAGACAGCCAGGAAGACGGTCACAGGGACAAAGACAGACGGACAGACAGACTGACTGAGTGACGCACTGAAAGCAGAAAGAATAGCTTTTTATACAGGAAAAAACAGAGGTGACAGAGAACCAACACAGTGAAGTGAAGGAGCGAGGAACAGATTAGAGGAAGAGTGAAAAATGGAGGTGGGTGTGTTTTCTTTCAGAGGTGAGACATGAAGCATGACAGGGATGAGAAGATGAATGTGAGGCGAACGAGTTGAGTGGAGGAAGGCACACACACATCCTGTCGGTTTGAGTTAGGTCACCACCACCCCACTCCCCCCCTTTTTCAGACATCATTTTTGGACCAGTCCGGACAGTTCTCGGTACAATTTAGACAACAGACATAGATCAAACAAGATCAGATTACACACGGGAGAGAAGACGTCAGACAGGAGGACAAATAGAATTGAAACAATGTTCAAAGACCCCTTAAAAGATGGCTTCAACCATTAGCCCCCCACCCCTGTCCTTCAGTTTCACTCACCACAGGGCCCCAGATGCTTGATGGGGATGAGGCTCCTGCTCACACACTCCGCCTTTCGTCTCATGCAGTCGTTGCTGTAGGTGTGGCCGTCCTTGCCACACAGGGGCTTGTAGATGCCGTCACACTCGATTGGGTCACAGGAACAGCGGGTGCTCAGCTGCTCCACCACACAGACACCGTTGAAAAGACACTCCTCTTTACATTCCTCTGGAAATGTAGAAGTGCAAACAGGTGAGTTCAGCAAGTGGTTTTACTCTAAACAAATGTTATGGTTATATAATATTTTATTCTCCATTGTTTTTACATATTAGGTTTCAGTTATTTATTAGGAACTCTCCACTGACTCACTTTCAATGGAAAGAAGTCCGAGTCATTCATACTGTGCATTGTCCACTTCTTTCCCTTCGCTATTTCGTTTCTGCAGTTAATAATTCTGGCTCTGTATTAAACACACTCATGGCCACTACATTATGGACACCGAGTCTGGGAGGAATTCATTTAACAGCCACATATTTTCCTTTGAGAATTTGCTAACACTAATATGCTGCAGTGGAGCTCTGCAATAAAGGCGCTCAGCTTCAACTACTACTATATCACCTTTCTTCAACTCTTTAGTAGGCATTAATAGCTCTATACACCATATTGCTGCCATTGAAATGGCTGATTAGATATTTATATTAAAGATTAACCTCATCAGACAAGCAGTAAAAATATCTAACAACTCTAAGTCTAATTGTAAAACATCCAACAGTAGCTCCTCATGCATGGTAAAGTCTAATACATTTTCTTATATTTCACCCATCATTTATTAAGCCATTTTCTGAGGCCTGTCTGTGTGGGCACTGATAAGGCCTGTGAGGACACGGGTCTGTGGGCCAATTTTATAACAGTGTGACAGATCAACATGGAGTGACGGACAACAGAAGTAGTCAGCAGGCGTGAAAAAGAAACAACATTTCAGGGTAGCCGAGTCCTGACAAAGAGCTGATTGTTCTTCCTGCCGCGCAACACTGCTGGTCCACGCATGGAGGAATAAATCCGTTTTCATCCAAACGGTAATTACATGTTAGACTGGACAGATGTCACAGACAGAGCTCACCAAAAATATAAAAAAAACTAAAGAGCCTTTTCTTCCACAGCTGAGTCTAATCCTTTTGTGCATATACAGCACCTGTTAAACAACCAGCAGAGACCGATGTGTGTTTACTGTGATTAAAAGTCTGAGAATTCTGAGAATCAGGAGCCTCTTCACTACTCTGGAAATTAAAAAAGACAAGAGAGAGGTCAAGCAGAAGAGGGGACTGGGTTATTTATGACTTTGGTGCCAGTCCATTAGTTTGGAACCATTAAAGGATTCATTCACTTAAGCTGTTTCTCATTTATAATGATACACAGAAGTAGGAGCCAATTCATCAAGGACAATCGTACTATGCAGCAATCTATACTGAGTTAAGAACAATGTAGCTGCTTTTATTCTAATGCTAGGGCTCCTAAGTAAATTAAAAGGCGGGAAATGTGAAGCTGTGAAAAAACAGTGCCATCAATGTTAATTCCCAGTGTAATTAAATTGTATACTAATGTGTACTAAATAGTGAGTAGATTTACAAAACAAGAAAAGGATAAGAAAGAGAGTAAACGTTTGCTAAGTTAGCACAACCTCAAATGACAAAAAGATATAATAAAGTTTAAAGTAGACCTTTTTGTAAAAAAAAACACTAGTTAGCATTCCTGAATCATAATCAGAAGAAAGCCAGAGCCTAACTCAGACTAGCCATGCATAGATATATATTATTAAAAAGTTAAAGAAGGAATATTACTTAGCCAAGTTAGCCATGAAGTAGCTATATTTTAGCTTTGCAAAATTAATTTTAACTAATGCTGGACAAACTTAAAATAATCAACAGAATAATGCGCATATATATGTTAAGTTATATATTTCAAAAGCTTCAATTTAGCTAAAATACAGCATAAATATATTTACCATGGCCTTTACTTTAGCATATTTGGCCAGAAAATCATGGAATGTTAGCCAAACATGTCTCAAATGTAGAAAAAATACATTTAAAAAAAAGAAGCAAAGCTGAAGTTACTAGATAAAACTTTTTAGAAACTGGAAGAAAAAAACCAATAAGATAAACTTAAACAGCTGCCAAAAAAAATCTCCTTTTATGAAGTGAATAATCTTCAGTGCTAGTGGGCTAACAACACCAAGAAAGAAACTGTGGGCCACACAAAACTTATTAAAACTCACCATTTGGCCTTTTTCTCCATCTGTTACACATGAAGCTCTGCTTTATTTCAATATAACTCTAATAATAGGTTTCCCTGTGTGTGAAACTTGAACATAAGCTGTAAGAATGAAGTCTAATTAATTTAAGAATAAAGTCTTAACCACTATGTTCATTACATTTTGACTCACTGAGCAGAAATGTACTGTAAAAAATAAGAAAAAAAGAGAAAGAAATACTGGGAATGTTTAATGGAAAATTTGGCACTGAAGTGAGAAAATCCAATTTGAAGCGGGCCTCTGTTCTGGAGGCAGTTTGAATTTATTTCTTTCCTGATCAGTGGATCAAATTTGTACAGCAATTCAATTTTCTTTCCCTGTCTTTTCTTTAAAGCCTGTCATGCCACACTTAATTACATGGCTGCTGTGAGTGAGTGAGTGAGTGTGTGAGAGAGAGGGAGTGGGAAAGGGTATATTCCGGGATGCTACAAGGATGTGCAATGTCATGGTTACAAGTTGAAATGGTCATTTTCATTAGTCACCAATTTGTAATGTGCTTAAGTGCCATGATTTTAAGGATCACAGTTTCAGATTGAATTATTCTCTCATTTGAGGAAGGGCGTAGTGTGATCTATTGTTACACACACGCACATACACACGTCTCTTCTTAACACGGATGACAAAACAAACTTTTTATCTTTCTCAGAAAAAGCCAGCAGTGAGGCAGAGATTTCTCCTAAAGAGGGTCCAGAAGTCAGCTCATCATGTCGATTGATGTTGTCACAGGTCTCAGTGTCTCCACTCATCACTGCTGTAAACAAACAGAGCTGCGACTTCAGGACCCGCTGTTGAAAACCCCCTAGCCAGAAAATTGGATTTTCCTCCGATGGTTATCAGACGTACAGTAAAAGCTGACAGCTCTTTGTTGACTTGGGTTTAGACCAAGTATTCTAATAGCACAGATAACAGCCCCGGGGGCTCTTATCAGGCTGGAGGAGGCCACTGAGGCTGGCACAGATACTGTACACACCCCAACCACCGAGTGTTTTTTTTTATATTCCGTGCCCTAAAGTGTCATACGGTTACACTTTGAAGATGATGTTCACTCTTTCAGATTAAACATTAACAAATGATGAGTACAGTAAGCTCTACGACTGTTTTTGTCACCTTTTGTTTCTTGAACACTGTTTACACCTTTGAAACCTGCATAAGATTTGTGCATCATCTGCACATATTTCAGCGTTTCGATTAGTTGACCTTATTATTGAAATTATGTTAAGTGCTCTTGAAGGTTAGATTGCTGATAATTGCAATGACCTTCATTCTTTCCTACTGTCAGTTTTTTCCTTTTTCTGCTTCACAAAGAGCATATTTTAATTACAAAACTACAACACTTTAGAGGTAAAAATATCAATCATGAAACAACCAAAAAAATGCAAGGAAAATGTCTAGTGTTGGGATAGAAACCTACAAGGTATGTCAACATTAGCTAAAAGATAGCTTAAAGCTAATAGTTAAATATTAAGATAGCAAATGAAAAAGATTTTCTTCAAAGGCTCTTACCAAGTCTTCTGCACTTTCCTTTGTGGATCTTCTTCAGCTTGACTCCTTTCTGCAGGCTCATTGCCATCATGGCACACTCACTGGTGTAGGTCTGACCATCACTGGCACACAGAGGCTCACTGTCCGGGGGACATGACCCCGGGACGCTGTACACCTGTGGTTGGCGGGTGAGAGGCTCCACTCTGCACTGGGTGTTTAGACTGTTCTCACTGTCTCTACATGGGTCTGGGGAGGAAGATGTTGAAGAAGATGTGATAGAAGGCATATTTACACCACAGATATACCCTTGATAATGTCTCCAACATTTATACTAATACATAACAAAAACACAAAGTTCCTAAATTCCCAGTCAACATGTGAATGTAGCCCTCACATGGGCTTGCTTCGCTACCTGGGTGACAATTGCTTTTTGATTGACATATATTTTCATGATCATGTGGAGTGAATATGGTGACCCAAAGGTCTTTGCTACCTTTGAGTAATGTTCCCAGAGTAGAATAGTGTTGAGAATAACAATGAATCTTACTTTAGTCATATGGGTGACTGTTAACTGTGTATATTGGGTAATATTAACTTCTAATCCATGGCTGATTCTGTTTTTACATGTTATTAGTTAGGCTGAGCTGACCATGGTGCTGATTTCTGGTTGGAGAGGAGAGGAGAGTAAATGAAGAGCAGCCCCTGCTGTGCCTGTGATGATATCAGTTGAGAACTGCTCAGAGAGAGAGCGATGAATGAAAAGTCTTTGGTTGGATTTCCTCCCAGTAACCACTCTCCTTCCTCGGTCTGGCCTCACATATTCAGCTGTATGAGCCAATAATCATAACTGAATTGTGTGGAGGGTAGATAAATGTAAAGGGAGTGTTGCACCTTTAAAAATAGCAATAGTTGTATCCTCCTTGCTGCATTTTTATCATGTGGGAAGACAAAGTATCTCTATGACAGCTACATCACTAGTGAATTTCTGGCAAGTCATTTAAAATGCCTGTATGAAGAACCATCAAGGACAACTAGGCACAGAAAAGACAGAAAAAGGAATAGGGTCTGAGAAGTTTGCAAAGACCTCCAAGATGTGGAAGACTGTAAGGCCTTAGACTGTCCTCTATCAGCTGAATACAAAGCAGACAGGCAACCAGGCAAAGCAGGGCTTTATCGTAGTGCATGCAGTGTTTCTGCATATGGCAGTTCTTCACCCGCCGGCCAGACCATTATCTGTGAGAAAGACCATTACCTCCCATTAACCAAGAAGAACAGCTTCCAGGACCATGCTTTCCCATAGCAGAACAAGTAGGGTAATTACAAAAAGAATGGCCAGTTTGCTACAAAACCTAGCAGTGTGGATAAATCAACTGCATGTGTCTGGATGGAGCCACCAATTTGAAATAACCAAGGCTTTTAGATGAAATGGCTGTGTTAAGATTTAGGGGCCCATAAGGACTGGCTGGTCTCTTGAGCTTCAGCCTGTTCCCAAGGGGCCACTGAGCAACCCGGGTCACTTTGGTCCGAACAGGCGGGATTTATACGACCGACCTTCTGCCAGCAGACCAGCACATCCATCACTCACTGCCCAGCGACCTGGAGGCTTTTGCTTCTAAGAGACAGCATTTGTCTGCTTTTATTTTACTCTGATCTTCCTCCACAAAAGGAAAGAAACCTTGATGTCAAAGGAGTAAACAGGAATTGTCAGATAATAAGAAAAAAAACCTGGTTTAATTTAATTTAAATTGACAGGAATCAGCATCTACTTAGAGGAAATACAACTATTTACCACCGTATTAACAGCCATTTGCACCCCTTTAGAGAATAGCTGACTGAAAATGGATGTTGTTAATTAAAAGGTTAAGAGACAAGAGATGGAAAAGTCAGAGGTAGATTAAAGTGAAAATGAGAATTATCTGAAGCGGCTAATATATGATATATATGATTAAATATATATCACGGCCCCCAGTTTGCTGGTGTCACCTAAAAAAATAAAATAAAATCAAACATTATAAAAAGATTGTAACTGTACTGTAGTGTAACTCAGATTTTGTCTGAAAAAAATTTGGAAAATCTCAAATTTTTCTAAGGTTGAGTATGCTTTGTCTTTTACTTAGAAAAAACGGTTAAAAATTTTAAAGGTATGTAAATAGAATATGACATGTTAGAATAAAAAAACATCTCTCGTTGATATTATTATATTGTAAAAGGTCACAGAGTGATGTCTTACCACAGTGGCCTTGGTGTTGCACCCGTATGTTCTTCTGTTTCTTGCAGGCGTGCTCGTACAGCTCACACTCGTTGCGGTAGTCTTTCCCATCACTGCCACACACCGTCTCCTCAGGCTTGCCCTCGCAGCTGAGGGGGCACATGCATTTAGCCGACAAGCCGTCTGATGACTGGACACAGGTGCTGCCGTAGCTACAGGTCACCTCAGTGCAGGGGTCTTTCAGAGCTGCAGAGAGGGGGGAAACACATCAAAACAACACTTGTTAAAAATCTGAGGAGCTGTTACATTGAAGAGCACACCTGTCAACTTCTCCAGGATGCTGCAGTCTGCTGGTGTGCACCTGAGTGCATCAAATATAACAAGAGGCTGCTGGTGCACTAAAAAAAAACAAAACAAAAAAAAACAAGTTTATTCTAAGTTCGGAGGAACACTTGACACCGCTGGTTGAAGACAAACCGCCACTGCTGCCTGCTCATCCACGGTGTGTTTCATTTTGAGGCAAAGTGAATTGAATTAGGAGCTTTGCATTCATAACACATTCTTTCTGCTATGCCGGAGCATGCTTTCATCACCACGCCTGAATAACGACCCTCTGCATATTTACTTTTCTACAAATGAAACTGAGCGAGAGAAGGGGAGGGAGGCAGAGAGGTATCACCTCACCTCCGGGTCTTTGTTTCCACCCTAATTAAACAGTGCCACTTGACGCTGAGACTCTCATTCCAGAGAAGAAGAGGTGGCAGCCACTTCTAATTTTGCCACCGATGGTAGCTTTTCTTGGGTTTCATATTCTTGACAAAAAGGCGGCCATCAGATTAAAATCACTGTCCTTTTGGAGCATGATACATATTTATGACTGTCACGGACAAACATGGGTTACCAGTTAAGGACACGGAGCAGCAGCAGCTTTCTCATTTCCTCAGTCTGACACTTTTAGAATAGATTTAACCATGTTTAATATTATACACTCCACATCAATGAATTTTATTTAAAGCAGAGAGTATATATTGGATTTCAAATTCTCTTGGTTATCAATTTGGGTTTGTTTTCTTCTCTTTCTAATCTTTTCATTTGGAAGAGAAAGAAATTATTTTTCTTTGTACAACCAATACGTGCCTCCAGGAGGCTGTTACAGCCTTCTTAATTAGAGACTGGAATATTTGCAGGAAGTTATTATGAATGAGCAAAGTGACGGGGTAGCTATCAGAAGTACCCTTGATCACAGTGTACCCACCACACTTTTCGTTCCTATGACACATTTCTTCCTCCTTCAGTTCCTTTAGTCTCTCCTGTGAAGCTCTTTTGAAGTTTGGTGCATTAGACTCATTAGCTAACTCCCTCTATTATATATATATGCTTATATATATGCTTTATTCCAGCTACAACTTTGTAACTGATTCACACCTCACACAGAACTTCAGGACAAGGCGCTAAATTACAGCTAGTATTAGAAGGAGCCTAAAATGAAGGTGGACTTGCTGAAATCATATTTCATTGTGAGGCATCGATGGCAGCCAGTGTGGACCAGACAACGACTCTCACACTTGGCCTCCAATTTGTGTCTAATCATAAGAACAATGAGACACTGATGACCTGTGGGAAACAGCGATGCAGTAACAGATGTGTTGCATCTCCCAGAGCAGGTAAATGTCAGAGCAGCAGCAGTTTTACTGGGTCACACTCACTACACAATATACACATATCTGTGCTCCTGAGAGGCATTTACAAGAACACACAACCTTGGCATTCAGTTGTCTTAAATACAAATAATCCATACATTGATTTGAGGCAGGGTGCAAATATCTGGGTAAGGGGATTTAAACCCCTGGTCCATGGACCACTTCTGGCCTACAACCCCCTTGAATCTGGCCCAAAACTGGGATGTCAATAATGATTGTCAATGGTAATTTTTTTTTCCATTGAATGTGGCGTCTATGCAAGAACCACAGTGACAGCAGTGGCTCTCAGCTCATAGGAGTTTGAGACCCCTGCTGTAGACATAGGGATACAGAGCAGAGTGAAAGGGTAAAACCCAGTTCTGATTCTGCTGCAGTAGTAGTTACAGTAACACATGTCCCAGCGTAAGGAAAATCGATGCACAACTCAAAATGAAATACACCGGTTACCCATCAGTCATTCTGGGCAGACAAAAACAAAACAAAACAAAAACACTGGAATGAAGTGTAGCTGGGTTCAGCTTAGGTTTAAGAAACCTGAACTTTTACCCTAGTGACTGTATGTCGACCACCCACACTTCCTACTACCTCCACCAAGATGCCTTTAGCAGAGCTCCCACCAAAGGCTGATAAGATTTAAGCTGCACATAAAAAGGCTACATGTGTCCTCCAGGTGGACAAATCAGGCACTACAGTGACTGATTTGTCCACCTCCAGGTGGACAAATCAGGCACTACAGTAACTGTGATGTATTGGGATCAGAAGACAAAGCCCAAAGCATACTATCTTTTAGCATAGCATTTCTTTTTAAGTTAAATTTATCCCGGTCTGGACGGAGGTGCATGTCTGCTTATTCATTAGCTAAAGTGTCAAGGGACACATTGGCACACAGACAAGAGTCTAGGTTCAAAGATGTGATTGGAAGACGACCTCTGTACTTTTTCCACATCTGCCCCAGAAACAACCTTCAGCTAATGCAGTTTATTCACACCTGCTGTTAGTTGGGAGTTGATGTATGTGTCCTGACAAGAAGAAAAACAAAAACTTGTCGCTGCCAATATGGTGTTAAAAAATGATCGTTGTTCAGTTGGAAGCACCGGTCGCAGCCACGAATGATGAGAACGGAGAAGAGGAAGAAGAAGCACAGTTATCATACGTGCTTACAGGGCGTGGATGGGGGGGCGTGTTTATGATTAAACAAACCTCCAACCCCATACTTCATGATCTGACTTTATAATAGGCCATGTTCCTCCTTCTCTTTCCTTTACCTCCCTTCTGAGTGAAGCTGCCATAATGACAAGAAAGAGGAGCAGGGGCAACGTAAGAGCTAGGTAGAAAAGGAGGCGTGAGGAGGGTCGGATCTTCATTTGAATGCTAACAGGACCAATTTGGATACAAAGCTCAGGTTTGATGGGTTGTTAGAGATGATGAACAAAAACAAACCCTCTCAGACTCATCTTTTATAATGTCTGGGTGGGTGTGTTCCGTATAACAAGCAAAACAAAAAAGAAACAGTGCTTTAAACAGAGTTCGGGCCAGTGTTTTCTTATTATTACAAAGAGGAAGGAGATGAAAGAAAATGTGAGAAAGTCCACGAAGATGAGTCTGTGTAATTAAAATGATCCTGATCCCTAATTATTTTAGTCTACCTCACTGGAGAGAGGCTGAAGCTAAGTGGGGTTTTAAATGTGAAGTTAATGAGATAAGGGATATGCAGCACATAAAGATGGAGAGATGAGATCACAAAGTGACATTAAAGTGTCTACAAAATGAGGTTTCACCAGTAGCATCTGCACACATCCATCTTTACAGACCTGGTTGCAAACAATTAAACCATAATGGGTACAACTTTAGCCTACAGTTCTACCGTGTGAACTACTGTTCTTATTCCTGTGTACAAGCAGACAGTAGTCTGACTCAACTACCATAGTCCTCTGGTTGGTTTTGGGCTGTTCCAGTAACGTCCAGTCCCCAAAAGGCTTCAGAAATCCCCTACATTAGCAAGGTCTTACTGATGTCAAAGTCAAGCGCTAGTAAGGAAGAACAAACATATAAGGAAGAGAAAGAATAGGAAGAGAAAGTACGTGCAGATAGTTTTTGTACTCAGTAGCATTTAGCTTACTTTTGCCAGCAGCTGTGCTAATAACTTTAGCTGCTAGCTAAAGTTATTAGCACAGCTGTTGGCAAAAGTAAGCTGCTAGCTAGCTGCCTTGTGTGCTTAACAGACTATAGAAGATGTCACATTTACCACTCAATGTTAGCTAACCTTGCGTCAGCTAAGATGACAAGGGGAAAATCGGCCAATTTCAACAGACTGAAGGAAAACTAACCACAAAGAAAAATAGTTTGTGTATTTGCATAAAAAAATAGATTATCATTTAATTATTTCACGTCTCCAAATCCATCAAGTTTTAAAGCCTGCTCTTTACGACTAGACCTGCTTGTTTTCACTCAACACTTATTCTTCTAATCACAGAAGTGCAGCATTTGATTGGTCACACCATGTGGAATATCTACGCTCAGCAGGTTTGCTTCATTTGGATGAGATGGGAGGCATTGTCTGCCCAATGGGAACGCACCGTGACTGCACCACACATATGCCAATTTATAAATCTGCGTGCTGTGCTGTGGCAAGTCCTGAATAGACACCAACGTGTACAACATGAATAATATCTTCACTGAGCTTCAAGCTTTGAAGGTGAGTAGCACTGGGTTCACACCATGACGAACGTCTGGCTGTTCTGCTCTGAAGTGTGTTTGCAGAGGTAAGAAGGCTTCCAGCAAGGGACAGGGTTAGAAGTGTCAGCTTTTACCATTGGTTCAGGCCAAGGGCAAAGTTTATGCAGAGTAAAGATTAAAAAAAGTTATAATGTCATTCTGAGAAAAAAGGCAAGAAAATCATCAACATGGCAGGGGCTTCGAATGATTTGGGGCAAATAAAAAATGTATCGTTTTACACTGCAATGCACAGAATCACAAGAGCCAAGAGCAGCATGTTGCTATAAGGTGGGATGACAAAGGAGGGGATAGGGGATGAAAGTGATTCTCTCCCCTCTGATCTCCTCCTCTGGCAGGAGAGCAGAGCAGGTGGAACCCTCTGCTGCTCTCTGATCCACTGTTTTGTGCCGCAGTTTATTAATGCTTCATTAGGGACAAGAAGTTGTCGGCACCATGCTGGCTTTACCTGATGTCTCACTGCCATGGCACTAGCAGAGTGTGTGTTCATGTCTGTGTGTGTGTACGCACACTACCTGCAGTGTTGCTGGTGATAAGAGAGGGCACGGGGGGTTGGTGCTAATCAAATGCAATGATGCGATATTGGTGCATGTGGGGCGTGACCAGTGGGAGAGGAGAGAGAAGTGACATTGGGGGTTATTAGGAATGGAAATTCTACATCGCAAGATTAAAGGCATTAATACACAATATAACTAAACTTCATTATCAATCGGAATTGAAATTACATGTTAAAATAGTTCATATAGGAACTGGCTCTGTAGAAATCACATGAATTTGTCCCAGCAAACCATTCGTCTACACTCATCTCATTTA